CCCCAAAACCCCAAAACCCCAAAACCCCATATGCTTCAATTAATTATCTGAGAAGTCTAAATGAGTAAGAAATAATCATCTAAATAATTATTTTGGCAAAAATGATAAAAATAAGTTTTCAAATTCTGACTATTTTACTATTAGGAATTTCAAGTTGCATAAATTAGAGCTAATAAAAATCTCATAACAAGAAGAATATCAGTTTAAGAGATCCATTGTTTCGGCAAATATTCAATCAAGCCATTGAGAAGTATGAGCAAGATTATGAAGGAAGGATGATTATTCGGGAAAAAAATCTATTATTGGCTAGATTAGAACAGGATAAGACAGCACCCAAAGATGATGATGAATAGGATAAAACTTAAGATGAAAAAGATACTGGCTAAAATGAACCCGCAAAGGAAGAGGATATAACCTGTGTGAAATATCTAAAGAATGTGACAAATTATTTTATGGAGTACAATAAGACAGTAACAAAGATTTTAAGATATTCTGGTAAGGACTATAATGATTTCGGTAAATATGAGGACTGCCTAAATATCAAAGATGAGAAATTCAGCTACATTTTGGCAACGATACCCAGGGTGTTTCCAATCCCTATTTCACTTGGATTATGCTTGCCTGCCATTTGCACCTCCTAAGATTTCAATAATGCAAAGCCGTATCTTATTGAGGTTATCAATCAGTACATTCCAGAGATATTTTAGGGATTAAAAGGTTTTGATTTGAGTTTGCAAATCAAAGAAAGTGATCTACACTTTGAGAATAGTAAAGCAAGAAACGATGAGGCAGCTAAAGCAGATGCATTAACGTACATCATGATAATACTGATTGTGTTTCTTTCAATCACAGTGATTGCATCTAGTTTCCTTAGTTGGAGAAGCAAAAAGCAAACCTAAGATAGAAGACAGTCATAAAAGAACTAGAAAGTGGAGAAAGAATAGACAAAGAATGCCATTAATGAAACAATGGAGAGTTTGAGAAGCGAATAAATTTACAATTTAGACTCTGATAGCAGTGATAACTAAAGTGTTAACAGTATAAATAGTCGCAATAGTCAAAAGTCCGGGGACGAGGCGTAACCAAAGAAAAAAAAGAAGGGCAGAAAGCTGACTCATTTTCAAAAGATTGTAAAATCTTTCTCTGTTCAAAATAGCATGAGAACCCTATTTACTCAAAGATAAAAAACAAACGATATCCCAGAGTTTAACTATTTGAATTTTGTTAGAGTCTCAATAATTTGTTGGATAATATTTGGTAATACTTATTACTATATTTTAAAAGGGCCTCTTTAAAACATTGAAGTAATTCAGGAATGGATGTCTGATTTATTGTTCGCGATCGTACTTAGTGCAGAACTAGTTGCTGATATTTTCTTTTGGCTTACAGCTTTTCTTGGCTGCTATTACTTACTTATAAAGACACATGAAAATTCTGGAGCTGTGGGGCCAATTTTCAAATTCTACTTTAAGAGACTTGTGAGACTATTTCCAGCTTATGCATTCACTCTATTTTTCTTCTGGAAAATCTTATTAGTAACAGGAGGCGATGGCCCTGCTTTTTTCTCATTTTAGTATTCCATAGAGTGTTCAAAGTATTGGATTTGGCATTTAACTTTTTTGAATAATCTGATCCCTTGGAACTAAGACGACACTTGTATGGACTGGACATGGTATTTAGCTAATGATATGCAATTTTATCTCCTCATTCCATTGTTTGTTAAACTTTACTATAACAACAGAAAATGGTTCTTCATCATATTTGCTATCTTCTTGAGCTTTTCTATGATCGTATAGATAGGAGTCATAGCTGCTAATGATTTATCAGCCAGCTACTTTACTTATAAAGATGAATATTTTACTATTTACTATGTGAAACCTTACTCAAGACTTCCATCATTTTTGTTTGGGGTATTAGGGGGATGCGCATTCTACACATTTAAAAATGAAGATCCTGAATCTATGAGAGTCTCAAAGGTTTTCCAAGCTCTGCTTTATGCTAAACCTAAAGCGATTGCTTCACATATCTTAGGAACTATCCTAATGATCTTGATGAGCATCTTTTTGTAAATTATGAATAATACTCCAAATGGATCATCAAATGCGATAAATATTCTCTTTCTAGTTTTTGGAAGAATGCTATTTATAATAGGGTTTTCAATGCAGATATTCCCAATATTAGTAGGATCTCCAGTTTTTCAGCCAATTAGATTGGTTTTATCTCATGATTTAATTACACCTTTCTCAAGACTTTCATATGGCGCTTTCTTGTCTCATGCTATTTTCATGCAATTTAGGGAATATAATGTTGAGAGGGGGTAATGGGCCTGTGCTTTCGATGCCTTCCTAATGTTCTTAGCTTACACCTCACTGGCATTTTTATACTCTTTGTGGATTAGTTTACTATTTGATTTCCCTCTAGCTTCACTATATAGTCTTTATTTCAACAGATAAAAGAAAAGAAGATCAGTCAGCAACTCAGCTATATAGTAGGAATAAAATGATCAAAATAATATTGAGGAGGGTTTATAGCCATCTTATTCTATTCAAAGTGAAAATGATTCATCAGAAAGGAGAAGAAGCTTGCTAACAGATCATGTAAAAAAGAATAAGAAAATTTATTCAAGAGATAGAAGTGCTTCAGGAGATACTGAGGATTTAGAAGATACAAATTAACAATTAGATAACTCAAAAAAATACTCAGAATCACCCTCAAGTCAATATTAATATAGTAATGGAAGCAAGAAACTAAAAACCAACCCCAGTATCAATAAAAGAGAACGTAGTGTAAAAGCTGGTATTTTAAAGAAAAAATGATATTATTATCTCAAATCAATATACTCATTAATCAAAGATTCTATTCATCTTCTATTTTTTGAATATTTCATTTTAGGGGTTTTGGGGTTTTGGGGTTTTGGGGTTTTGGGG